CCCCCGACGGCGCGACGTTACCAGGAGTACCAGTTTACGACATAACTAGTGGAGGCGAGGAAGGATACCTCCACGGCCCCTACATGCGGAGTTACAGTGGTGACAGAGGCGGGCTGACTCCACGCCCCCCTGTACCACGGCATTACAGCGGTGGCAGCAGCGGGAGGGATACCTCCATGTCCCCCTGCGCCGCTAGGGCATTACAGTGGTGGCAGCGGTGGGATGACTCCACGCCCCCCCTGTACCACGGCATTACAGCGGCGGCAGCAGCAGCAGCAGCGGGAGGGATACCTCCATGCCCCCCCCTGCGCCGCTAGGGCATTACAGTTATTCAGTAGAAATGACTTGCATATAGCCATTATACAACATGTACAAAAAATATAAATATTACCAAAATTTTTTCCAGTATATATATTACTAAAATAAATAAAACATTAGTTAACAAATATCAATTTAATTTTGAAATTTAAATATTCCAAACATAAAAATCCCAGAAGTGCATGTGTATGTCTTTAAAAACAAAGTAGCTCACAAGAATACAGCAAAAATGTTAGCAATTATATTCAGTCACTGAATGAGTAACATATGAGCATCACGGTCTGCATATCTAGGAATTGGCCACATTTTGAGTCCCATTTCATTTGGAAGGTTAAAATCAAATATGTAGCAGCTTGGAGCTTACTTCCTTGATGCAGCGATGTCCATACTTGTCCAAAAACCTCTGCAGCTTGGTGGCCACACTGGGGTAGTTCTCTTCTAGCCAGTGAACAGCCTCAGATGGTAAAACTGTGCAGAAGTCACGTGCTTTGTCAGTTGCAATAATTGATGATGCAAGATCCTGCAAACATAGAGCAAAATACAAGGATAAGAATAGTGATACTCCTGTTCTTAGGCTTTCACTACCTACATGTAAAGGCGCATCCACATTACTCATGCTCGTGCTCATCGGGAGACTCGTTTGGCTTTTACTTGTGCTTGTAAATCTTCGTCCACACTACTTCAGTTGCTCGCCAGGCTTCGCCGTGTGAGGATCCGTATATTTACTCGTAGTGTGTATAGGCTGTAATCGCATTTTAATTTATTGGCTATAGTTTTTAAATTAAAACTTTAATTGTTTCTTGCATCCTGTTGTGTATTTAATTAATATTGGAGTCAATTTTACCGACCACACAACATATTTTTATTATTATTACACTATATGTTTTGACCTCAAGAGGCCATCCTCAGGTGTACGAACACAGCTGTATAATTACACGCAATGACATTTATCTTTTCACCTATTCGATCCTGTATCTTATTCAGGCCCACGCTCAATAATATATCAAGCTCCTCTCACAAAACACAAGTTAAAATATTATTCTAAATGTCAAAAGTTAAAATTAAAATTTAAAATTTGCGAATCGAATTTCAATTCAGATCACTAGTGTGCTTTCACTTTCACTTGTTATAGTCACTTCCTACTTACGCTCATCACTGCGTCAAGTTCACTTTAACTAGTTTTAATTATATTATTGGTTAAAAAGTTCATGAATTAAAGTTCAATTTTATTATATTGCACTTTTCACTTTTTGGAGGTATCGTTGTTTTTCCATATCCTCTTATGTTGCTGGATCTGTACGGTCTTTGTCATGATGGCTACTGATCAGTAGCTATCATGACAAGGAAACACAGATGGTACTAAACACCCTAACAAAGAAAGCCTTCCAGGATGCATTTCAAAAGTGGCAGAAATGCTGGGATCGGTGTATGCGCTCCCAAGGGGACTACTTTGAAGGTGATGTTGCAGAATAAGATCAGGTAAGACGTAATAGTTTTTATTAACATATATTTTGGGAACTTTTGAATTGCACCACACATATACAAAGAAGAAGACGCGTGTCTCTGTAATTTATGCATTGACAAACTGTTGCTACAATTTAGACCAAATCTGGCATGATGGCAGAGCATGAAATTGCGCACGTCGCAAAGTCTAATGGAGCTTACTTTCCAGTTACTTCCTCTCTGAGAGAGGCACTAGGATGTGACAACAAGGAAAGCATGACAGTAACTGCAGCATGATACTAACTGGATCATAGCAGCAATGGGACTGTGACAGCAGTGGGATTGTCACAGGAGCAGGATAATAACAAACGGGAGATCATGAGAATGGTGGGATTGTGAGAGCAGTGGGATCGAGTAGCAGAGACTGTGACAGCAGTGGGATTGTCACAGGAGCAGGACAATAACAAACAGGAGATCATGAGAATAGTGGGATTGTGAGAGCAGTGGGATCGAGTAGCAGAGACTGTGACAGGAGTGGGATTGTCACAGGAGCAGGACAATAACAAACGGGAGATCATGAGAATAGTGGGATTGTGAGAGCAGTGGGATCGAGATAGCAGACTGTGACAGGAGTGGGATCATGAGAGGAGTGGCATTCTGGCAAAAATTTAATTGTGATGGTGGTGAGATTGTGGCAGCAGTGTGATTGTGAGTGCAGCTGGATTGTGATGACAGTGGGGCATGGCAACAGTAGAATTGTGAGAGCAGTGGAAGAGTTGGGTGAAGTGGGATGCATCCTGACTGCAGAGGGATCAAGATGGCAGTGCTGTTTTGAAAATAATGTGAATGTAACAATAATGAGAAAATTACAACAGGGTTGCCAAGAGGACACAGGGGAAACCAAATTACAATCTGCTGTTGCTAGATTTATTATAAATTTTTTCTTCTTATACTTGCTCATTATGCTCAGATAAAACTGTTAATTTTGTTGCATGCATGTGTTCAGGTCCAGGCCAACTTAGTTCCCAATTACCTCCTGTGTCAAAGTGTTACGATCATGACAACAATGGGATCGTATCATATCGTACTGTACCATATCAATGTTTATCTGTTCCAGAAATCCATATTTGGCAATACAGTCTCCAGATATAGAACAAGCGAAGCTTTGTTATACATAAGTCGCCAATACTATAATACTTAACTACATACACAAATTGTGTCCATCAATAGGGTTGTTACAATTGATTCTATCAACACTGGGTGTCACCTTGTTTCTCTCATACAATGTGTGTGTTTGTCTATTTTTACTTCTCTGGGACTGTCTACGATATGTGTGCGTGTTTTTGTCTACTTGTGTGTGTGTGTGTGTGCACGCCTATCTGTCTATATGCCTGATTATGAATGTATATGTATTTCAGCTTGCACACATGCACTTTTTGTGTCTGTCTGTATGTGTTCATATGTCTTTCTCTTTGTGTGTCCTTGTCTCCATGTGTGCTCTTAACTGTGCATGTGGCTGTGTCCTTGTGTCTGGCTGTGCGCAGATGAGACATGTCTGTGTCTGTCTATGTGTGTGTGCATGTGTACACAACCAGTCAGACAAAAATCTTATTCACAAGACAGTTCTCCACAAAAGAAAATCTGTTTGTTACTCTGTCCTTGCAACTGCTTGAGCCAGCCCAGTACCACCACAGAAGGCATGTAATATACTGTTCTTTACATTATATAGTAAGCATACAATATATTATTTACCGTTAAAAATTTATACTTTGATATCACTGGCAAAATTTATGGCCATCTGCATAAAATATCACTTACTGCTTGTTATATCAAAGTTATTATTTTAAGTTGTGTTACTGGTGATGGGTGGGGGCACATAGTAGCATAGTTGGTTAAAGCACTATGCCACAAACCAGAAGGTCATGAGTTTGCCTTCCGATGAGGTCACTGGATTTTCAATTGACCTAACCCTTCCAGCTGCAATATGGTCCTGTGTTCAATTCAGCTTCTAACAGAAATGAGCACCAGTAATCTTCCTGGGAGGAAAAGGGCGGCTGGCATGTAAGACTGACAATCTCACCGCCATCTGTGAGCTGATTGTCTAAGAAAATGTGGGAACCTCAAGGTTTCACAACCCTATGGACCTCCAAGGTTTGTTACATGGAAAGCTTTACCTTTTCCTTTTTATTGGTAATAGGTTTTCTGTAACCATTTCATTGCCTGTATTCTGTAAGTTTGCAATTCTATGTTCCAGCTGTGATTAATGGAATGCACATCTAATTATCTGAATTAAGGTTCATGATATATTGTCCCAAGTTTTAGATTATGCATTTCTGGCATAATACTAAATTGGTTTTGAAGATGCAACTTCATTTTTAGTATATAAAAATGAAAGAAGGCATTTGTTTTCTAACGTCAACTCATCATGAAAAATGTCAGTGATGGTATATCAATCATAGATGTTATTTAGTGCCAACTGAGATGGAAAGGAACTAGAAGAAAGAATTTGGAGCCTATTTCAAGGTTATCAACCTGGTCATATTTAATATAATTCAAAATCAATATATATCCATAATGAATTGTCTGCTACTGAATTATTCAAATATACATATACATACATCTGCATTTCAAGATATTCACAAGTGCAATCTGCACTGAAAATGAAACATGTCACACCTGTCTGACACTCACCTCTAGAGCTACTGGTATCCCTGCTGAAACCAAGTCAGAGCAGGAAGACAGTAGGAGTCCCATGTCACTGTAGTGCTCTGCAGTTAGCTCTGAAGTCAAAAGATGACATCACACATATAGTAACACTAGCAACCCATTAAATATGTGGACATGACAGTGGAATGGGTTACTGCATTTGAGCCCCACACTACAGAACACTGAGGAAGTAAACATGATGTAGACTGATTATATCTTATGTAATGATTGTGAATGCTATGCTTAAACTACAACCAAGATACATGGTATGTATCAATAAGAATTTAAACTAGGTGCCTTCCAAACAGTAAGAACAAATGGAAATGTTTAGTGGAACATAATTTTTGAACAACCCTGAGGTATTTGCTTCTATTTATTGTAAACAAAATACAAAACGAAAATAAAGTGCTGTACATATTTACCTGGAAATTTCACTGCTACTAATAGTTTGAGGTTCCCACGGCAGTGAATAAAGGGAAGCATTGATTGTATGGGACCGTGCAGTGTATTTGTGATGCGAATAGTCATTATCTATAATTCGTATTTGCAAAATGAGTTGGATAGTTGCATGCTACAGAGGAGCAGATTTTGAGCACTTTATTTCTTTAATGGGACCCAAAGCTTCATTCATTCCTTCTTTTCCATCAGCGCTACTGCTCAGTGCATGCTTTGTCCTCCTGAATAATCAACTTCCATTCCTCCCTATTCTTCATTTGTTCAGACGATGAAACATTGAATTGTAGAGTGAAGAAATGAGAATGTGGATGTAGGAGATCATGGCCCACTTATTTCTGCTTGCTGATTTTTCTCCAGCCACATGACACTGATTATCTGGTTTCTAAACAATTTAGTTTTTATGGTGTGAGGTTGTTAGCCTCACACCCAAACCCCAACCTGGAGGACCAGGGTATCACTCTTTGTCTAGCTCCTACCCCTTGACCTGTCTGGCATGGGTGTCCCTACCAGTAGCTACGCTACTACTGGCATAGCTCTCAGGGTCTCATGAACACACAAACCCCACTACCACAATAAGGTGGAGACACCACTGGTGAGGCCAAAGCTTCAGTAGCATGTTCCAAAAAAGTCCCCATTGGGCCCCATCTGTGGCAAATAAAATTTGGTCCCGGACTTCACACCGTTTCTGTAAGAGACTATTTAACATCATTCCAAGTTTGCCTGGGTCTCCCAAACAGTCTCTCTCTTGAGATTTTTATGAACTTCTTGTGCATGCATGCTACATATTCTAGCCATCCCATCCCATTCTCCTCCATTTAATTATCCTAGTAATACTGGAAGATTGTTACTAATACAAATATAAAAAATTAACTTTTACTATTACCTTCACGTCCTTCAGTTAGTATAGAGACAGCTATCACTTGAGTGAACACACTGATTTTTGATGATTTACCATGGCAGTTGCTGACCTGAAACAAAAATTCTGCAATTCATCAGGTTCATTGGTTATTTAATAGTGTTATATAGAAGTTAATAGTACAGTGGAACCCACATTTAATGTTCCTCAATTTAAGGTATTCCCTCAATTAATACTAAATTTCGATTATCCTAAGTCAACACTTACTTACTTACAAGTGGCCGCGCCACAGGTCAAGTGGTTAGTCATTGGCTTCCCACCGTGGCGGCCTGCGTTCGATACCAGGTCTGCTCAAATGGGATCTGTGGTGGACAAAGTGGCATTGAGGCAGGTTTTCTCTGAGTACTTCAGTTTCCCCTGCCAACCTACATTCCACCAATTGCTCCACAATCACCCTCACCTATCATCTGGGGCTGGTACAATAGCCCAGAAGTGGCTGCAGTACAAGGGACTTATTCCCACCCCACTAGCAATAAAAAAATACTTACTTACTTACTTACTTACTTACT